CTGTGTAGATTTTTTATTTAATATATAACCAAAATAGTCAATATAGTTCTTTAAAATATAAAAACATTTTCATCGAAAGCAGTAAATAAGAAACAACTACAAAAATTCATCATTTGTTAAACAAATGCATAATCATTGCTTTAGAATTCGTTTTGTCAACGACAGTATTATTGTATCTTTGTTTGCATGTGATTCAAAAGAAACATAAAACAAACTAGAATAAAATATTTTGGAAGCTAATTCGATGTACGTGTTTACACATACACATCATCCGAAACCGGATGATAGTACTAAGCGTAATTGCCCTGCCAAAAATTAGAAAAAACTTGTGGGGCGCATGGCATCGTGCCTTAAGGCAAATTGCTGGAACTACCCGTATCAAAAATTATTAATTTTTTAAAAACGATTAACATTGTTGAAAAAAATTACTTCAAACAAATTAGATTTTTGAGAAACTATAAATTTGACAAAAAAATTACTTCTTTTTGAAAAAAAAATGTTTTCTTTATTTTGACATATTTTGGAAATTCTGAACTTTTTTTCAAAGCAATCGTACTGCTTCAACTGCATAAAGACAAAATGTCAAAGCGCGTAAGCGCCGCGTCGCCGTCTAACGGATGAACATTGGTACGGAACCCATAGGAATGTAGACAAAATTTATACTTATCTTAAATCTCTGTAAAATATCTGATAATTTGATGTGCATATGTCTAATGATCATTTTTGACATTGGCATTTTTTTTTACTTTTTTCACTAGATCTTCGAAACCGCTAGACCTGCTTTCATGAAAATTTGATCAATTCTTCATCTTGTCAATACAAGTAAAATGTTTTTTGAATTATTAAAATCGGACGCTCCGTTCTCTTGAAAACCGAGTTACCATTTTTGGCACTTTTTGCCCCGTATCTTCAGAACGGCTAGACCCGTCTTCGCCAAAAACTAATCAGCACGTCTCCTTATCAATACGAATCGAATGTTTTTTAAATTATTCAAATCGCTTCATCCGTGTTCCCGAAATCGTCGACAAAAATTTGTATCCACACACACATACATACACGCACACACACAAATACATCCATTTTTTCTAAGGTATGCCAAAATGTTCAGAAGGTTTTGAAACGTAAAGATATATAAAAATTTTCATTTTCGATTTTTTTGCGATTACTATAACTTGCCCTACGGGAACTTAAAAATATTTTACGTTGTTTAGGAATTATGAGCGTTTAAGTGCAACTTAGAGCTTTGGTGAAATGTGACCATTTTTCGGTTATTGTGTTGAATTGATATTACTTTGAATAATTTCAACTTTAGAACTGTAGCCGTAAATAGCATTTCTAAGACTATACCAATTATACAATTGCCGAAAGGTTTCAAAAATTAAGACTTTTTGTTGAACAGTGAATTTAAATTTTTTTAAATCGTTTAACTTTGTGAAGCGGCCCTCTTGTAAAATAATGTACTAAAGTGTGTTGGTGCCTTTAATCTAGATTGTAAATAATAAAATACTTAATAGTCTCATAATAAAAAATATCAAGTAAAAAAATAAATACCTAAAAATAACAGCTTTATTTTCATTACTTACCGTCTTCTTATACAATTTCTTTTAAATTTAATATATTTTATATTTATTCTCATTTGGTATGGACTCTTGTAAAAAGGAAAGTTGAATACCGATTACTTTAATATTAGTAAAGTGGAAATAGACAAATAAAATAGAATGAAAAATAAGATATGCGAAAAAATCACAACATCGGAAAAAATACGAATTAAAATGTATAAAAATATTTTTCAAAAAGTTGGAAAAATGACAATCTCTAAAAGTGTTTTATACCTTCGGTTTATACTATTGCGCAGTATTTCCTATTGCCAGGCCGAAATAATAAATCATATTATTATTTCAATTAACTACCTCCAAATATTTCAGTTAACACTTTGTTTGATAAGAAGACCGGAATGTAGAAACATCAATGGCCGGGACAAAACAAACCGATAATGGTCTACGATTTCGTGCCAGTTTATATTAGCACTGATTTAATTGTTATCAATAAATAATTCTATACTTTAAACAATAGGTACATTTATGTGTGCACTTAATGTGGACACATACCCATACACGCCGTATATATATTTAGTTTTTTTCGACGCTGGAACATATTTGAAAATAATTAGCAGCCCATTCGACGAAATAAAAAAAAAGTTAAATTTTTTTTTTACCTTTGTCATATATATATATATATATATATATATATATATATATATATATATATATATATATATATATATATATATATATATATATATATATATATATATATATATACGCTAACATATTTTTCTATCTTTGCTTCCAAAAATGTCTGGCGAATATTGTATAATATTTTCACGATTCACGTCGTCGTAGTCGTCGGTAATTATTGATACTTTCATTTTCTGCTGAAATTAACTTCAAAGTGATGCAATTTAATTGATTGTACCGCCGAAGGGAAACAAAACGTCGTGATTATCATTATGTCGCATGTACTGCGCCTAAGTTTCTAATAGATGACCACTACGACCCTTAGGCTTGAAATAACAGACATTTTTATATAAAGTTCAAATGTTTAGAAATATAAATTCTCAATGATGGATAGGAATTAGGCAGTTTTAGATTACGAACTGCATGAAAATTACAATTATAAAACTGTACAAAAATACAGCGATATGTTAAAATTTCCGCATTTCACAGCTAAAAGCTTGAAAAAAAAACGAAATATTTGTGTGTGCACATAAATGTCAATTTCTCTTTCGTGAATGTTTTACCAAAATATGAGTTCAAATTAACGGAAGATTAATTATCACTTTAATGGTTAATAATTTAAAATCCAATTGGGACTAGGAAACAAACTCTTAATGTACAAGCCTATTTACTTTTATGAAATAGAACTGGGTACATAAAGTGATAAACTGTAGAAACACATAACAATGGGTATGCTAAACCATTAACCACAAAAATATTATAGTTTTCTGTAAAAAGGAACCACCAAATAGAGATTAAAAAAACAACCAACAAAGTTACTGTAACGAATTAGGGCTCTCATTGAGGAAAAATGGATCTCGAGGGATCTCAATAACTTATAAAATGATCCATATTCTAATAAATATTTAACAAAGAGTTAGCAGATTAAAAATGCAGTGGAAGTTTAAGTTGACACCCAACAGTCCAGCACTTTTTAACTTCCCGTAGGATTCTCAAAAATCTAATTTTTCAGAGTATTATTTTTTCACAAATGTTAATCTTTAAAAAAAATAATAATTTTTGGTACGGAAGTTCCAGCAATTTGCCTTAAGGCACGATGCCATGCGCCCCACTAGTTAACTTCCTGTAGGGTAAGTTATAGTAATCGCAAAAAATCGAAAATGAAAATTTTTATATATCTTTACGTTTCAGATGTTTCTGAACATTTTGGCATACCTTAGAAAAATGGATGTATGTGTGTGTGTGTGGTTGTGTGTGTGTGTATGTATGTATGTGTAGTATGTATGTAATGTATTTGTATGTATGTATGTACGTGTGTGTATGTATGTGCGGATACAAATTTTCGTCGACGATTTCGGGAACACGGATCAACCGATTTGATAATTCAAAAAGCATTCGATTCGTATTGATAAGGAGACGTGCTGATTAGTTTTTTGGCGAAGGCAGGTCGAGCCGTTCCAAAGATACGAGGCAAAAAGTGCCGAAAACGGTAACTCAGTTTTTAAGAGAACGGAGCGTCCGATTTTAATAATTCAAAAAAAATTTGACTTGTATTGACAAGATGAAGAATTGATCAAATTTTCATGAGGCAGGTCTAGCGGTTTCGGAGATCTAACGAAAAAAGTGAAAAAAAATGCCATTTGCGGTCAAAAAATGATCATTAGACATATGCACATCAAATATCAGATATTTATAGAGATTTTAACAATAAGTATAAATTTTGTTTGCATTCCTATGGGTTCCGTACCAATGTTTATTCGTTAGACGGCGACGCGGGCGCGTTACGCGCTTTGACATTTGTCTCTATGCAGTTAAAGCAGTACGCCCGCTTTGAAAAAAGTTCAGATCTTCCAAAATATGCCAAAATAAAGAAAACATTATTTTTTTCAAAAAAAATTTAAAAAAAAAATTTATAAAAAAAGTAATTTTTTGTCTATTTATAGTTTCTCGAAATCTTATTTTTTCGAAGTAAATTTTTTTTTAAAAATGTCAATCGTTTTTAAAAAAATAATAATTTTTGGTACGGGAAGTTCCAGCAGCAATTTGCCTTAAGGCACGATGCCTTAATTGCCTTAAGACAGAATTCCACTTACAGCTAGTTCGATTTTTTTTACAACAAATGTGCCTTTATAACGCTTGAGAGCTACTAAAACGTCTTCAGGGTGGTTCGCAATCATTCGGAAGAGCCTAGCTATTGTTCGGTAATCGTTGTGTTCATGGCAATTTCGTTATGTTTAGGTTCATGAACAAAGTATGTTCTACTAAATTCGTCGTCCCTACGTTTAAAATGAATATATTTTATTCCTTTCCACTTTACTACTCGTATGACACTAAACTTCAGTGACAGACAACACTCATATTCCCATGATGTTGTAAGATAACACCGCGACGTCCTAAGGAACGTACTCGCTTACTTTCTGTTCTTCAAATACTCAACTACAAGTAACTACGTAGTTTGATGCAAAAATAATCACAACAGGAATTCGCTTCGATTGC